ATCTTCTGTTTCAATAATAAAAGCACATTGTGAGTAACCTTCTCTAAGGCCAGAAGTCTCACCATCCACATTTCTATAAGGTTCCTTCCACATTCATGACTTATTCCTTCAAGGTAATTCACATTCCTTTGAGCCCATAGCCCTCACAGGTATAAACAAAAGAGGTCGGATGAGACCTTTTAGTAGAATCTCCTACCAGAAGTGATGTTTTAGAGAAACAGTATTTTTCAGTGAGTTTATGATCAGTTTGTGTTATGCTTTAAAACCAAAAAAGACTAAGAGCTTCCTTAGTTGCAGTGACAGCTATTGTGACTGCAAACAAGAATCCTTTTTTCCATCAGATAGATTCAAGGTGCAATCTCAACACTCCTGAGCAAATACCTCTTGCCCATTTAATATATAAGCCCTTTAGGGAGAAATCCAAATTTAAACTTCAAGGCCACAGAGGCTCAGGACAACTCAGAGTCTGCCTTGTGAGAGCAAAAGGGAGTACAACTGGAGATTTAATTGTAGAGAAACATTTCTCTCTCCTCTGTGTCCCTCTCCCGCAACCTTCTTTTTCCAAGAACACAAACATTCTTTTCATTTCTAGATCATTTTGGAAGTTGATTCCCTTATCTCCTTTGAAAGAATCAGCCAGCTTATTTCTCATCTGCAGCTTCCTAAAGTGATCCCTAGACTGACGCACTGCTCTCATCAGCCCACCCAGCAATTACCAGGAGACAAGAAGCATCCTGGAAAAACTATGACAGAACAATATCATTTCATAGTGATTTATTACACATGTAGCCATTAATGGCTTTTCAAGTGTGGAAAGCAAGATGGAGGGGCAGAGCCTGAGCCAACACTAGCTGTCAGAACACCACTGTCATCTATTGGGTTAGAAATATTTAAGCCATCTGATGTTTCAGCCTGGCATCTTGACATAACAACAGTCTTGGAAACAACAATAAATTTGCACATCGAGGAGTCTGTTCAAAATCATAGAGGCTGACAGAGAAATAGAAGAAACTGTGCAGAAATGTTTGTTTGTGATACTGGAAAGACAGGATCATGATCTCCAAGAGCATCCTTCTAGTGCACCAACTCTGCTGTCAGGGTTGAAGCACCAGAGGCAACAGCCACTTCACTGAACTGAAAGATGTTTTCATATTCATTTGCAAATGTTATTGTTGTCCTTATTGTGAAAAAAAAAAAATGAAAATAATCCCTTTGGTCTTTGGGGAAAAAAAAAAAAAAGAGTCACCTTGTGATATATTTGGAAGTACCAAGGTTCTGCAATTTTCACCTGCTGGGAGATAGTGCTTGGTGCTTGGCAGGTGCTTGGCACTTGCCATGGTGAAGCTCTTGAGACAGGCTCTGCCCACAGTTGTGCTAGGCAAATATAACATAACTTTGCTGGCTGGCACTGACTGAATTATCCCAGATGAAATTTAAAGTAAGAGCAGAATCTCTCCTTTTATTTTTTTGAAGCAACACAGCATTACAATGGTATTGTTAACATTAGAACAATTTTGCAAGATAGCAAAAGAACATCCTGATCTCACTGCTGTGAGCTCCTACTCAGCAGACAATTGCGTCCTATTTTAGAATAGGGTTTTTAAACTGTTCAAAGCAATGCACAAGCAATAACTTCTAATGGCTTAAAATGGAATTTTATAATGCTAATGTCTTCATATTACAGATGTAATGCATCTAGAGAGCAAAGATTTCTATTCAAATCCATTTCAGCTTTCAAAGATATTTGCACCAGAATTTTCCATTTAGGCATCTCTAATTTCAAGACTTCAGAATGTGCTGCTGGGAAAGATGCAGGTTAGTATGAACTCTACTTTATAAAGGCTCCTGCAGTTATGTTACAGTCCATCTAAATTATTAGTCTGTTAGTCAGCTATGTTTTTACAAAGAAAAGAACACATGAACAAACAAAGTTATTCAATCAATCCAGCAATTTAGCAAACACTTCCATGCCACACTAAGAGAATACAGCAGCCCCCCACTTTACTTTTGGTGAGTGAATGACAAGTTCTGAGCAGGTTAGCAACCCAAAGGGCAGGACCATAGCGGCCTACCACTATTCTCAGAAGCAAGGGGTGGGCACCAGCCACTTGTGCCAAAGAAGGCTGAGAACAGAAAGAAAGTGAAAATAGAGTGTTTCCAGATGTCTTGTATCGTGTCTTGTACTTGCTTGAGAAAGATGTACCTGAGATATGATGCCCTGGAGAGCTGAAGACACAAACCCAGCTTTCTTAAATTGACTCATTTTTTCCCCTGTCACTAGCAACCCCAAAAAATTAAAATACATGGGAGAGGGAAGAAAAGCATACAACTTTCTTTTCAGACATGCCTATTATTCCACAATCTACTAACCTAATTGCAGCCTATTTTGCATTATTCACCTTTTTTTGTCATTTCTTTTTCAGTCGGCATTGACTAATAAGTATGTTTTAGGATAGTCTGCATCACAACAGTACCTTTATGTCCCACTGCTTCCTCTTTCAGACTTGACTCCTCTCTCCCCTCCTACTCAGACCTTGTTAGCCCTTCTCTTGTTCCTAATTTGAAGATCTCAATGAGCAGGAATTACATGTCTCAGCAATAAACATGATCTCACAGCAACACAAAGAAGAGGATGAACAAAATAAAAATTACAGTCTGGTGAAAGCTCCCTTGACAACTACAGCTCCACTGACAGGCGCCACTAAAATAATAGGAATGATGCTTCAAAACAACAGTCAAGAAAACGTTATGAAAGAGAAAAAAAAACATTCTAAACGGATCTTTTCAAATGCAGATTCCACTGCCAAATGAGGAGAATGAGAAAAATGTTCTTTATTATAGCAGAGTCATATTTAAATTCTGTGAGATTATAGGAAACCACCAAAAAAAGCGAGTACAACCTGAAAGATCCTGGAGCCAACAGTCCATTTCAGGAATGCTAGAATGATGCAGAACAGACAGAATGATATTTTGGGGGTGGAGAGGAGGCATGGAAGGTGTTCTCTCATCAGAAAAACTTGAATGGCTTCCAACTGGGTGAATAATAAAACTCATGTTGACTTCAGTGCAACATCAGGCATTTGCAGGCTTGCATCTGAATAACTACCACTACTCAGGTGACAAGCTGCATAGCAAAGAAGCCAAGAGATTAATGAAGGTGAAAAATTATGGCCCACTACTAATGATGTTCTGTCCAAGACAGAACTAAGGCAATGGTCATGAAGAAAGTCTGTCTACAGGCTTAAGGAGGTAATTAGAAAAAAGCTATAGCCTTCCTCTGCCAGTAATGCTTAAATGCAAACAAGCTACTTAGGCACATTTTCCACCTTAGCTTCATAACTATAAAATGGGGAAAATTGCTGTAAGTACTGGTGTGGTCAGTTCTTTGGTGGTTAGAAGGTATTTCAAAAGCCCCAGACGGATCCTGTAAAATCCTGCAGCAACCGCAGTATCTCCCAAACTACCTAAGGCTCTTCAGCAGGCAGAAAAAGCAGCTTTGTGGAGCAGAGGTGGAGATCAAACTGAGCAAAAGCTCCTGGCTAGAGTCAGTTGGGGCAGAGTGAGAGGGCAGAGAAAGGGATGGCAGAGACAACAGGGCAGGCAGGGCAGAGAGGAATAAAGTGCACAGCATGAGTGGTGCTTTGATGGGGCACATTTTATTTTCTTGGTATTTTACATTCCTGTTGTAAAGTACTACTGGTAACACAGAAAGGTCATTGCCTAAAAACTCCAGCCACAAGTGCACAGGCAACTCCGTGTTAGCAGAAACAGACACTTCTCCCCTAGTACTGAATGCACTCTCAGAGCTCCAGAAGTTTGGCTTAGGGTCCTGGGCTTCTATTCCTCTCCAGGGACAGATGAAATCTGCAAGACAGCCACGTATTTCTCCTCCATTTTATTCCACACACTCAAGACACCTAATAAATTTGCTTTGAGTTTTCATTCTTCCCTAAAACAAAGGAAAAGCTGAGAACCAGAAATATCTTTTTCCTCCCTGGTGGCCTGGCAGAGACACATGTAGGACTGTTTCCCACTTTTATATAATGAGATTGAACCCACCCACCCACCCCCAAACAAACAAACAAGCAGATTTCACAGAAAAAGGTACAGGGACTCTGCCATTTCTTGCCAGAAGCACTGAAACCAAAAGCACACCAGGACTGAGAATAAAACACTAAATAGTTATATAGATAACAAGAATGTCCTAATAGTAAAGAAAAACAATATTCAAAATTTTGAAAGGCATGTAAATGCTGAAGATACAGCCAGCCAGCTTTTTCGTGCTCACTGGGAATAGAGAGTAACTTTTGCTCTGAGGTTATTCTGTATCTATATACTATAGTTTCTTGCATGTGTCTTCCTAGTGTGAAGACACAAAACAAACCAGTCCCTGAACAGACTGCACAGCTCACTACTCCGCTCCAATGTGACAATACAATTGTCCCTGTTCTTTCATCTAGCGTCCGAATTCGAGAGCACTCTGGGCTCCTCAGCCCTGGGAAATTAAGATGTGGATTAGTTTTGGAAGAAGGACGAGTCAGATTAAACAGTGATTCAGCTATCGGGCACGGACAGTTCCCGGAGCCAAACCTGGGGATATTGAGACCAGCATTTGGGGGCGAACAGACGGCTTGCTAAATCGTATTCTGCGTGTGACCTGGATGAGACGTACTGAACCAAACCCCAGCCCAGGGCAGCAGAGTAGTGATGCGACCGGAGTTATTCGCACTCCGTGTGCCACGGCCACTGCACGCCGAGCTGCCAGCACCGAGCGTGGGGCAGAGACCAGGGAAGCCCCCCGTGCTCCAACCCGCCCCAGATGTGGAGGTCTTGCCTGTTGCAGGGGCGACACCCCCCAGCCCATCATCCCCAAACTTCAGACCTCAGAGGAGGAAGCACCTCTCCCTGCCTCCTTCCGAGCTACATGTCAGAGAAAAATACGCCCCAGCGCCAAATGCACGCCAGCTGCCGAAGGGGAGTAAGAGCAAGGAGCCACTTACGGGGATGTGCACTCGCAACATGAGTTTCTTCTGGCTGGAGCTTTTCCTGCCACTGCTGCTGCTGCTGCTCCTGCTGGAGGCATCTTTCTTCTTGTCCATGGCAGTGCTTCCCATCCCTTCACCCCGGCGTGGTGCTGGGCGATGGATCTGGAGAGGAAGGCTCCTCTTCCACCTCTCCCCACCGTCCCACCCGGCGGCAGTTACTGTTACTCCAGGCTTCCTTCTTATTTTCTTTTTTTTATTTTCCTTTTTTTTTTTTTATCCTTTCTTTTTTAATGGCCTTAGGAAATTGGGGGGTGGGGGGGTGGGGGGGGGGTGGAAAAAGGAGGGAGACAGCAGGAGGGGGGAGGATGGGAGAAGCAGAGGGAAGGGGAGGAGTTTCTCCAGCTCAGGTCTTTAATCCCAGCAGTGAGGTGTCAGGGGGACCTTCTCAAGAGCATGAGATGCCCTTACAAACGCAGCTCTCTTTCTCACTCTTCCGCCCTTTCAAAAATATCCGGAGCATCCTTGGGGGGGGGGGGGGGGGGGGGAGAGAAAGTTTCCTTCCCCTCGCCCAGCCCGGCCGCGCTCTCCCCGAAAGAGAGAAAAAAACAAACAACTCCAAAACACCCAAACGCCGCATAAACCCGAAAAGGGGAAGGCGCTGGGGAGGCTCCCGGCAGCCCGGCGGCAGCGGGGGGGGCGGGCAGTGGAGGGAGCGCGGATGCCCCGCGAAGAGGCCGGCGAGGAGGTGGAGTGCCCGGGCGCTGCCAGGAAGAGCAAACTGAGCACAGTGCGGTTCTCCCCCGGTCCTCCGCATGTGCAGGGCGCGCAGCAGCCCGGCCGCCTGCCCTGGCTCCCGCTCACGCCGGGCTGCCCTGCGGAGCCAGGGGGACTGAGGCTGTGCCGCATCCCGCGGGCCGCCGCAGCATGGGGTGGGCGAAAGGCTGGGTTTCACCTTGCCAGGAGCTCCCAAAGGCAGCGCGGTGCCTGCCCTTCCCTCCCCACCTCACGGGCCGGGTTCTCGCTTCCTTCTGGCCATGCCCCGAAGAAGGGTCATTCCTTCGGGCAGCGCTCCCGGGCCGCAGCGCTCCCGGGCCGCAGCAACCTGCGCAAGCTGCTCTGCGGAGCCCGCCCGGCTGCTGCACCGGCCCCGCCGTGCAGGGCATAGCGCCGGGACCCGGATCCGGCCCTGCCGGGCTCGCTCCCGCGGGGCAAAGCCACAGCGCTGCCCCCCCGCGCTGCCAGGAACTTGTGCCGAGCCCAGGAGGGCCCCAGACTACTCTCGAGAACAGATTTTTTCCGCTCCCTCCCTCCAAAAAGCCTTCAAAACGCGAATGCAAATCAGTCGAGCCAAAGAGGCAGATCACACCCCGCAGGCAAACGAATTTGGCGTTCCAGAGTATCAGAAAATGAAAAGCTTTCAAAATCCACTTCACATGTGGCTGCACCGGTTGCAGCTATAGAGCACACCCATGCCAATGCCACCCCTGCTGCCAGGCATTCTTTCAGGGCTGAGATTCTGGACAGCTAAGAGAGAAAGATTGTTTTGCTTTAAAACAGCAAGTGGTTTTCATACACATAGAATCACAGAATCCCAAGGGTTGGAAGGGACCTCAAAAGATCATCTAGTCCAACCCCCTTGCAAGAGCAGGGTAACCTAGAGTAGTAGCAAAATACGAGTTTGGGGGTTAGAAGTGACTCCTCCTTCCTTGACAACCTCTACACCATTTTGCACTGCCTGAATTTTACAGTTAGACCAAGCCCATTGCAGTCATTGACCTTGATCACACTATTTGAACACAGATTTTCCCTGGGTTCAAAGCTGTGCATATATGTGTTCACAGCATCTACACCAGAGTTACCTCTAATAAGTCTTATGGGACTCTATAAACCAATGATTTATAAGCCTTGAGGGAAGAAGGGGAAGTGTTTTCCACAAACATCTTCGTATCTTCTGAAAAAAAAAAATAGGATTGTGATGGCTATCTTCAAGAAATGCACCAATTCAGATTCATTCCTCTCCTTGTGGAAGTCTCAGGATTTATTAGGTGCAAAGCTAAGTCAGGTATAAAGTCTGTAGCAACTGCTCTAAAACCATACAGAGTCAAATAAAAATACGATCCCTCTTCTTTAATGTTATATATAACTGTCCTATAGGTTCCTACAGAATGTCATGGAAGGAAACAGACCCAGAAATGAGATCACAGCAATTAGCACCATTGTCACCAGATCTGAAAGTGATAAAATGAGGAGCTCGTCTGTAACACCTGCTTTCCCTCAACATTTATATAAACACTTCTGCCAACACAGTGCTGCTGCCAAGGAATTTGGGTACAGCTGACCCCTGGAAACAAGGAGTGAGAAAATTACTAGTAAGGATGTCTACCAAAAAATGTCACGATATTTTTCATTGCTAGTATGCTCTTGAAAGTTAAAAAATAAGGAGGAAAAAAAGGCAGAGTTTCTTTAAGAGGATTTTAGCACTAGGTATCCTAAGCAAGCAAGTCTCCTGGCTGTTATTTATTAAGTTAACGAACATTTGAGGTGGAATTAAATCTCTCATATTTATATAATCCTTCCCTTATTTATGCAGAATTGTTTCCTATTATTATGTTAATAAATAATTATATTTTCCATATTCAGTATTTTAGATCTACAATTATTCCTTTTCTTCTTGTAGATTATTTATAGAATTTATGGTGGACAATGTAAAGTAAGTGTCAAGGAGTAACATAAAGGCTGTATGACCAAACTCCCAAACCTAAATAATGAATCAGACCCCCACCCCCCAATATTGCCTCAAGCATGTTTATAACTGTAATAATACCACAAGGTGGAGTTATTTTTCTGCTTTGATCCCTAAGATCCCAAAGCTGACTTTTGATCTTTCAGTTGTATTTTAAAACTTTTCATTGAAGCTCTGAGGATTAGAGATGCATCAAAACCAAACCAAAACAAAACAAAAAGACCCACCAAAGCCCAAATCCTCCTACAGCTGCTGGACTTCAGGGCCTTGACTCCCCACAAAATGAAGTGTTAATAAGACCCTGCTATAAAATAAAGGAATTGCCAATATTTCTGACAGTAAGACATCGTGGGTTTATCCTTCTATTATCTTTCAGGGACAAATGCAGCCAACATATGAAAAAGCAGCATCATGAATACTTTTAACTTAACTTAAATTAAATTAACTTAAATTAAAATTAATTTTCCCACATGGAATCCTGGCAGTTTGACTCCTACCAACTGTGTTTTCAGAGGCGTGCAACATCTAAATTACTAATTTTGCAGACAAATGGGTACCAAAATACTTTGAGAATATCACCATAAGTACTTAGAGGTTTCATGTGCTCTCAAGGCTAACCGGAAGAACATCTCAAATACACCAGCCACATTTTTCTGCTCTCTAATAGCACCCACATTTCCAAGCCATACCTGTAATCCAGCAGAAGAAGCATGTGCATTTTGGACAACACCACATCACAGGACTTGCCTTAGTTATTCCTTAAAAACAGTTTGAGTCAATTTTTCCATTATAAATTCCCAGAGTACATTCCTAAGTTTATAAAATAGTCATAAAACTTTGCTTTCAGCCTTGATTGCATCAACTGCAGTTGCTGTAAGTAAAATGTCACCAGCTACCTTTAGTGCTAAAATTTCACATGCAATATAGAGAGGTTTTTGTAAAGACTTAAAGTGAAAAAGTGTACCTAAAAGAAGTGGTGCATGGGGAGAACTATGAGAGTTGCTGGTGGCTTTAAATCTTTATTGAAAACAGCATTTTTTGCTAATGCTTTAAAGTATGTTGTTAGTAATATTGCCAAGCACTCGTATTGTATTCCAGAAAAACTATCTGTGAAAATAACTATTATTCTTTCTCTTCAGATGACATATTAATGTTACTGTGAGGATTTAATGTAGATATTTCACATATGCAATCTATAAGTATTTTGCAGCCACAAAAACCTGAAGAAGTCCCATTCTTGGGCACTAAATTTCCCACTATAAATAATGCCTGTATTTTACCAGGATAAATAATGTAACTACTCAGATCAACCACCTTATGTCTTATGTATGTGTATACATATATTCTTACTTGTGGCTCTCAAACATTTTTAAAAATGTTTTCAGGATTTAAAGCACAAATCCTTGAAAATAAATATATCTTGAGGTCTGGATGCTGAAGAACTTGTTTGGCTCCTACTGGTAGCCCAGCACCTATCACAGCTGTTTTTCTCTCTATTTTCTTGTTAGGCTACCCTTTGTCCAAGTTGGTCTCTGTAGTTCCTCTTCTGCCTATCCCTTCCTGCTCTGCTTCAAGTTCCACCTCTTATTCTCACCTTTCTGTTTTTGTTCTCCATCTTTCTCTGCTTTATACTTTGCTGCTCAGTTTCTTGAGCATGCATGAAGTCAGTTGTTCAGTTCCTCTTCAACACATTTATTACATTGAATTCAACCTTGCTTCATAGGGATGCTTAATTTAATCAGCAGCCCAATGTAAGTAACATGATGCAGCATTAGGGTGCAGTAGTCAATGCACAGTCCTTTCTGTAAAGGCCAGAGAGGACACGCACCCCTGCATCTGCCTGCCCATACTCACACTATCACCTGATACATGTTGACACTCAACACAGTGCAGGGAGCAGTTTTCAAGTTTTATAGTGAACATGAGGAAATATCTGTAGATGGCTAAATTGCCTTCCATTGGGAAATTTGCAGGGGAAATTGCAGGCCTGCCAGGTGAGATACTGAGGCTAATGAGGGAGGAATTGCTGCTCCCCAGAAGGTCCGCAGGAATGTAACAGCAGAAAGGACTAGCAAATGTTTATGTTGACAGAGATAGGTTGTGTTGTCAAGTGGCTGTTCTTCCTCTCCAGGCTGTCAGACGCCTTCTGGTACACTAGCCGTTACTGAGATAAATTCTGTCTCATCACCTGAAACCTAGCAGCACTTGGTGCTGTTCTAAGGCTGACTGCTTTGGTTGAACCATTCTGTCCTACAGTTGTCTCCCTCTTGCTTACACCGTTTCTGCTTGTGTGCTGGTCACTCCAGAGCTGCTGCACTGCTTCATCCACTGAAACAGCAAGTTGTCTTGCCATCCAGAGACCACAGTGCAGAGTGCGAAGTGAGAGAGAACTTTCTGGGCTGTTTCTCTAATTTAATATAACTACTAATTTCTTTCCAAACAGCCAAATGCAAGGCAGGTTTTGTTTCTTTCCTAAAAGCGTTTCAGTTGCAGCTCTTGTGCAGCTTCACAATTGATCATGGGTATCAAAAGGTTTCAGAATTCTTTGTTTGAAATGAATAGGCCCATGCAATGGATTAATTTTATATACAGAGAGCCATAGCACGGTTGGCATGAGCACTGGTGCAAGTATTGGCAAGAGACTCCCCTTTTTGTCAGCTGCAGTGGTTGCCTTACTATCTTCCATCTTCACCGCCCCACAGCCATGGTGCTCCCACATACTCCATAGTTGACCCCATACTCCATAGTACTGATACCATAAGAACAGATGCACAGTAAACCAAACAGGTGCATGATGAGAGGGACTCTTCATCAGGGACTGTCTGTATTGATAGGACAAGGGGTTTAAACTTAAACAGGGGAAGTTCAGGTTAGGTATAAGGAAGAAGTTCTTTACTGTAAGGGTGGTGAGGCACTGGAACAGGTTGCTCAAGGAAGTGGTGAATGCTCCAGCCCTAGCAGTGCTCATGGCCAGGTTGGACAGAGCCTTTTGCAACACGGTCTAGGGTGAGGTGTCCCTGCCCATGACAGGGGGATTGGAACTAAATGATCATAAGGTCTTTTCCAACCCCTAACCATTCTATGATTCTATGATGTGACCTGAACTCTGTTGTGTGGTTCACATTAGTGCCAGCACTGTACTGTAGACTATACTGACAGGTAAATTCAGGTTCTAATCTACATCACTGTAGTGTAAGAGTAAAATAAGAATAATACTCTCAGTATCATCTTTGTGTAGAAAGTAAGTAAGTGTTTGGGAGACCTGATTAGGTACAAACATGAAAAACACATTTTCTTTTTTGAACCATGACAGCTTGATAAAAGACGTTGAAGCTGATTTTTCAAGGTTCACACAATGTCAGTTGGTTCTGAAAGCAAGGAGAGCCTTCCAATGACCAAAGTACCTTCTGAGATAAACAGTTTTTGTAATATTGGTCTCTGTACAAAAAAATCCATTAACTGGAATGATGAGCTGTTCAGCCTCAAGTTTTCTTAGTACTGAAGAATCAGAGAAGAAATGGGCAAAGTCCTATAAAGTATCTAATTTCCTCCTTACTGATACAGGAAAAAATCTTTTGTATCTTCTACTGATTTTGATTCAGACTTTCTGGCTGTTAGATGCAATACTTAGTGCTTTTGATTTGCATATATAGGCCTGCAAGTTAGACAGATAACCTCAATCAAAATTTAATGTGGCAGATTATATACAAAAGCAGTGGAAAGATTCTCATTTCCCATAGTTTGATTTTTGTCAGTCCTGCCAATTAACACAGAGAAGTACAAATAGGTTTCCAGAGGACTCTGCTTTTCATTTTCTTTTCCAACAGTATGTGTAATGCAGTACATTAGCTAAAAGAGCATTTAAAAAAGGCAGAGGCACAGCTCTACCAGATTGTGTGGGCACAGGAACAAAAAGTGTTTTCGGCAGTAAAAATCTGAAAATATTTCCATGTTCTTCCTAGTGAACTGGGAAGAATTCAGAGAGCTGAAGAATTACAAATGCACTTCATGTGAGCCTTCTAACTGGGTGATAATCTCAGAATTTATTCCTTGGCATAGAGTGTTTTGGGGCTCAGAGAGCACAGTAGGCCATAGGAATGCTTGGAGCAAAGGGGTGAGACTGCCCCAAAACATCAACCTGTTACTGCTCGATGGTTCAGATGTAAAAAGAGGTGAGGCTTCCAAAAGCAGTGAATTCCAGGATAGGCTGTAAGATCTCAAAGGAAATAATTTTTGCATGTTTAGCTTCAAATTTATTATGCTGCAAAGTGTTGGTAGCAAGATGTTAGATCCTGGCTTTCCTGCATGCCCAGGCTCTCTGAAAACAAAACCAAAGTTGCTCCGCAGTCTTTTCAAGGCCTGTCAGCAGACCACTTCCACAGGAAGAGACAAACACAATGTCCTACTATACTACTGTTTTCAGCAGAAAATGAGTGATACAAGGAGGAATGCTCTTGACATTGCACTGAGGTGTATAATGATGAAGGTACCAAGGGCCATAATTACTAGAAATCATTCTGACACATGAATGGGGATTGATATATCCAGTTAAGACTGCAGAGTGTGCATTACCATAGAAACAATGGAATTCCCAAATATGCATGTATTTGTAATGTAGTAGGCACAGATTTAACACGTGATTTTTCAAATCAGTCTGAGATTCAAAGCCAGATGCACGGCTTTAAATCTCTCCAATAGTCTTAGAAAATTGTAAAAATGATGGTAAAGGATGATTTACAGTAATCTAATGTCAGGAAGAACATTTGATTTGAAATATCTCAAATAACTGTATCATTTTTCTTAGGATGATGGCCTGAAATATTACCAGAAGAATTTTAGAAGAAAGGGATGTCTAGAGAAGACCCTAAAACAGAAATGTTCTCCCCACACTGAATCCAAAGAGTTCTCAACAGATGGTAGTTAGTGTGATTTAGTGTAGCTTCATTGAAATTATTAATTTTTTCTCCATTAAAATTTTGATACAAAGTGCCTGAACTTCAAAGTCTTCAATGAAAAATTAAAACTTTACACTACAGATGCATATAAACTCAGTAGATGTATGTAAGATTAAAAGTAAATTAAATTAAATTAAAGAAAAGGAATGGATCAAGGAGAAATTCTAGGTCTTGGAGGATACACGACAAAGGCAAAAAAAATCATTAATTGATTGTGTTGTCACTGATGAAGAGGTTATACTTGAAATGTTCCTAGGTAGAGCATGAAGTAACATATGACATGCGCAAGGTACAGTTAACATGAACCCAGAGTTTGCAATGAGATTCTTTCCCACTGAATGTTCCCCATAAAATGAAAACCAATATGAAAAAAATAGTTCTTCCCTT